TGTGTGTGTGTGTGTGTGTGTGTGTGTGTGTGCAAGGGGGGAGGAGGGGATTGGGGGTTGTTTTCCAGGAAGGAAATTTTCTATTAACAAATTAACAATTTAATATCTGGCTTCAAGACAACTGAATTCTGGGAAATGCGTTTATTTTTTTTATTTTTTTTTTATTTTTTTGTGAAAACCGGCCAAAGCTGCCTCTAATAAAGTGCAACAGATAAAGTTTATTTTCCAAATCAAACGTACTTTTCTGCTTATGTTACAGATTTTTGTTTTATTTGAAACAGATCAGAGGTACAGGATGCTTTGTTGTAATGATATTTTCATCTAGGAGCTCTAACTTTTTGTAAAGTACTTTACTCTAAAAAAAAAAAGATGTGGCTTTTTGTGTTGTTAATAACAGAGGAACATCGAGACTTCTTTGTTTACCCTGTGTCAAATTTTAGTTTTTGTGTTTTCTGACAGCTTGAAGCAGGAAGAAACTCGACCTGGAGTTGCCTGCAGGCTGTCGTTGCTCAGTTTCTGATGCAACCAGGAGTTAATAAGTCGAGGAGCATGATCTAAAACTGCTGTGGCGTTCAGTACCAGTGCGGGAAATCATTGCTGTTGTCGCGCTGATAACCCCCCCCCCCCCATTCCATATTTCATGATCATGTGAATTTGAATCATACTGCCAGTCTTCAAGTTCACTCTTATTCCATTTAACAGGCAACCACTGSTCCGTCTGTCTGCACAGGGACCGTGCTCCTAGCAGGACCTCTGAGGGGATTCTTTGGAAACCTTACCCCATGGGTGGGGCCTTGAAATACACACGGCTCAGTTAATTTAAAGTGAAAAGCCATTAGATGAGAAACAGAATATGTTGCAGTCCAACATGGCTCAAACTGGGAGAGTGCTGGAACTGAAGACTGGGTCCACACTGTCCCCTGCTGGCAGCCATGCAGTACAGCCTTCAGTGTGTGTCAGGCCTGGTCGGGTTAGAAGGATTTTGAAGCTGCTTTATGCCATGCTTTCTTTATCTGAGCATTTGATGGCTCCGAAATTCAAAAATCTATCATTTTTAATGTCTGGTGCTTGGCTGTAGGGGGGGAAACATTATAATCAGGCTCATTATCCCCTGCTRCCAAAAACTAAAGTGAGAGGACAATTATGTTTCTGACTGTGTTGGTTTGTCTGTCATGTTAGCCAGAAATTAAAAAAAAAAAAAAAAGAAATAATGAATCAGAAAAAAATGTATGAAACTAGCAGGAAGTCATCATTGGAGACACGTCTACAATGGATTAACGGAATCAACC